GAGCAGGTCCTGGCAGGGACCTGCAGCCCGTGCAGAGGGAAGCCCAGGCTGGAGCAGGTTTTTCCCAGCAGGACTCGTGGCCCCTGTGGGGGATCCATGCCAGGTCAGCTCATCCCTGAAGGACTGACCCCATGGAGGAGGGACCCACGGGACAGCAGGGTGGGAAGAGCTGCTGCCCAAGGGATGGACTCACTGCAGAGGTCCATCCAGGACTGTCTCCCGTGGGAGGGACCCACGGGAGCAGGGAAGGATCCAACTCCTCTCCCTGAGCAGTGACAGAAACAACAACTGACTGTAACCCCCATTCCTGTCCCCCTGCACTGCTGGGGGGATGAGGGAGAACATGGAAGGAGGGGTGGGGGGAAGGTGTTTTTCACACTGTTTTATTTCTCACTCTTTGGCTCTTATCCTGTCAGTAATAAATATAAGTACTATCCCCAATTTGAGTCTGTTTTGCCTGTGCAGGTGATCAGTCACTGACCTCTCCCTGCTCTTATCTCCACTCATGAATCCTTAGCTGTCCAGTTGCAGAGGGAGAGTGAGAGAGTGGCTTTAGTGGGTACCTGGCATCTGGCCAGGGTCAACCCACTACACCTTGCTAAAACTCTGTCTGTCCATGTAATGTCATTTTGCACTGACTTTGTGCATAATTTTCATATTTGAATGTTTCTTTGTGACTCCCTCACTGAGAGCCTGAGGCCCAAGGGCTTTCTCCAGCGCAAATACAGCCAACAGTGATTTCTGACCTGAATATAAAGACACTCATTGTCCTATATGTATACAAACAGAATCCTGTTCAGACTATGTGTGTGAAAGGCTGTTGTCCACTTTGTGGGGTTGAAAACATCAAGCACAAGTCATTCAGAAACATCTCATATGACCAACAGAGTAACACAACTTCCAAAAAAGCCTGCTGAAGGTGCAAATGCTTCCTCCACTGAGCCACTCAGGCACAGCTCTAGGGCTCCAAGATGGATTCAAGTGTGATGTTGGAACATCTATATCCTGACACCTCTCCTGAAGGTGTTTCTTGCAGGTGACAGCTGTTCCTAGGGACAACAAACCTGCCTGGCTGGGTAGGAAGGTGTCAGATCCAGCAAGAGGAAGGAATGGAAAAGCTGTGGCAGAGCATAAGAAAGGAGAAAAGGTATTTTGCCTTCCTAGCCCTCTGCTCCCAAGGAGTAACCTCAGTTTGATTTAATTCTGGTTTCTGCTGACGCATAACAGAAATCCTACATCCCTTCATCTTCTCATGGTGGACTTGAATGGCAGCTCTGAGAGAAGCAATGGCAGATAAACCCTGACTTGCAAACAATACAGGGATGTATCGATTGGCAGCTCACAGTTCATTCCCCTCCCACTCCTCTGGAGAGTTCTGCTGGAGAAGGAGCTGTGTCTGGATTGCCCATGACACCACTGGACACCATATCTTGTTATTATACTGGCTCATATTATTCAGAAGTGCCTACTGCAGGGAACAGCTGGGTGTCCATAGCAGAAATGCACAGTAAGTACTCTGTCTAATACTTTTAAATTCCTTTGCTAAGTCTGCTTGAAATATATACCTGTTCTAATATAGACTTATTGTGTTGCCTAAAGATAGGGAGCCAAAAAACCTCACCAGGTCTTTAATGAAGGCCTTGGGAGTACAAACAAGGCATGTGTGCTCATGTCCAGAGGTTCCACGACTTATGGTCTGATCCAAGAACTACCCTGGCCCAGATCTGCAACCTGGGCACACTTCCCTGGAAATTGAGTCCAAGGTCCTAAGACCCCTTTCTTCCTCATCCTTCTCTTCATAGCGTGTCTTTGGAGTCTCTCCAAGGTTCCAGGCTTGAAGGTTGCTTTGACTATGATGGTATCTTGTTGTTCAGGCCTGGGGTGCAAATGTTCTTAAACAGTTCTACCTGGAGAGGAGCCTAAACAAGCCTAAAGAATTTAGAAAATTCAATATGAAACAGGGAATAGGGTTTGGTGAGCGTTAATTACAATTCTAAAGTGTGACAGACTATACAGCTACATTAAAATCTACAAAAAGCTAAAAATCCTAAAAATTCAAAGGCATCATTGAAAACAACAATGGAGGGCTTATCACCAAAATATTGCAACAAATGATCTTTACTGACGCTTTTCATGTTTGTATGTTCTTTTCACAGGTTAACTGTAATTCTTCTCTAGATATGGTAACATAAATTTATGCCACGGGTTTTGTATCTTACTCCTTGTACTAAAACAAAACAATTAAACAGTAACATTTCAATTTTTTCTGATGTTTCAGATCACCTCTGCAAGAACCTCTGCCAACCACAGAGCAGAAAGGACCTGGGGATCTAGAAGAAAAACCCAGTTAGGCCAGCAGATACAGATGAGAGGCCTATGTCTGCCACTAAAAAAAAAAAAAAAAATAATAAAAAAAATCCAAGTGAAAAAGCATACAATAAAAAATTCTCCTTGACCTTTGTGTTCTTCTGGACCAGATTCTTTTCTCTGGTATTGGTTTCAGCTGTGGAAGTTTTAGTTGTCTGGGTTTAGTAAGCTCTGCAAACCCTTTCAGTCTGTTGGACAACCTTCTAGCTGATGCTTTTGAGACCTGGCTGTGTGTGTACTCCCTGCTGTTCTGAGCAGCCTGCTGAAAGCCCCCATGTCCAGATCTCTTCCCAATGCTTGACCACCCTTTCTGTGGAGAAATTCCTCCTGATGTCCCCCCTGCCCCTCCCCTGGCACAGCTGGAGGCCGTTCCCTCTCCTCCTGTCCCTGTTCCCTGGGAGCAGAGCCCGACCCCCCCCAGCTCCCCCCTCCTGTCAGGGATTGCAGAGCCAGAAGGTCCCCCCTGAGCCTCCTTTTCTGCAGGCTGAGCCCCCCCAGCTCCCTCAGCCGCTCCTGCTGCTCCAGCCCCTTCCCAGCTCCATTCCCTTCCTTGGACATGCTCTTTTTAATTAATTCTCTCCCTTCTGGTTATAGTAATAGATCACTTTTAGTAAACTGAACCAATAGAACAAAACTAATCCAAATGCTACATATACAGTTCTTGTTTTTGCCAAAATAGGTTATTATCACATATTTGGAAAATGGACAGGGTTACCCGTATCTTCTGAATGAGAGTGCAGGAATAAGGGAAGGCTTTAACTGTAGTAATGAAATTATCAATATACACCAGAAGGAGTTGTCTCATATGCTGAATTGCTCACAAAATGCTAAGATAAGCACCCAAGTTTCTTGTTTATTTTTAAAGAAAGATGTTCAGCACTTTTTACTGCTTAATATTAGTTTTACAGTAATCTTGAAGACAAATCCCAGTAGGATTTGCAGCTTGCAAATGCTATTCTCAGCTATGCTGTTAATATTTATAAAACATGCCAAGAGGGATCTTTGTGCCTGTGGACCGATAAGGAATGTGTAGGCTCATACTGAAGATCCCTGGGTAGAACAAGACCTCTCAGGAATGCTGGCATGAGTCAAGGAGAAATGCCAGAACACTAATTCTCTGGTGCAAAGCTTCTCATTCTGACACTTCTGCTAAGATGTGCCTGGGCACTGGAACTTGGAGAGGGTAAGGATGATTTTCACATAAAAAGTTCTTTTTATTCTGTTGAAAGGCGGATGTCGTGTTGAATTCAATGAAATACGATGAGTACTTTCTCTGTTCCTGGCATACCATATTTAGTCTGGGTAATTGTGGTTTATCTGGGTAAGATGTGTCTTTCAGAGACTTGAGCTATTAGTCCAGATGAGCAGTGCTAAAAAGGATGGACAGGAAAAAAATTGAGGATTAAGTCTAGGGAAAAGCCAGTGTTAAGCCTAACAAATAAAAGACTGACTAACCTGGTTGAGCCACTGCAGAGACAGAACATGAGTGACCTTTGAGCCTGTGGCTGTTCAGAACCTCCTGTGGCTTAGGGTAGCTATGGATGGACAGAGGTGGCCTTGTGATCTTCGGATCCTGTTCTGCCCTTCAGAGACTAACTTCTGCAATGCTTGACACAGTCATTGCTTGATTTCACAGTAGGGAAAACAGATGTGCATTCTGAAGTTTTAACAATATTTTTAAACTTAAGAATGTATTTATTTTGCTCTGATGATACCTAAGTATCTGCCCTCTGAGGAAAAGTAACAGTCTTCCAAAGAAAAGTGAAGAGCGAGGGGAAAACTAGCTAGAGATTAGTGGAAGTTAACTCAGAGCACTTTTAGATTTAACGATGAACAGCTTTTGAGTGTGCATGAGATTTCCATGGTTACTCAAATTCCTTCCATCTTGACAGCAAATGTCAGAGAAAGATACGTGAGCAGTAGGTTCTGGACGAGGAGGTGACATTCAGGATGCCCTTTCCATCACATGCCAAAGCAGCTGAACAGCTTCAGTTACAGAACAGGTGAGTGGGGTGGACAGGCTCTGATGGCAATGGAAGGAGAAGGAAAAGGCAAAAGGAGTTGGAGAGTGGCATGGAAGAAGAAGAAATGAGACCAGTAGCATGAAATAAAGTTAGCAGACACTTGATTAATTGTCTTGTTTCTCTGTTGACTGCATTTGCAAGAGAAGCAGGGGGAGGCTACGCTGTGGAGATGGACTTGTTTAGATCTGCACAATTAACCTTTTGTTTCTCTAAGTGAATGTTGCAATTATATAAAAAATGTTTACCTCCTTTCTTCAAAAACAAATCAGAACATTAAAACTAAATTATACGAGACATTCTCAAATGCAGAAAGAGTTTGCAGTGTTTTGATAACACATCTTCTGTTGGTAATTACCATGTTCATTATTTACACTGAAAAAACAGGATTCTCAAAATTATTTTAATTTTTAAGAATAAGATAACACCTCGCACTGGAGGACAGGATAAATTTGCATTTAAGCAAAACTACCCTATTTTAATAATAGCCTAACCAGCTAAATGTGCAATGAGCACTTCATTGGTCATTGCCATGCCAGGTGGCACAGGTCAGTCTCCTCAGCTCAGTGACAAGTCCTTCCAGCCTGCCACAGATTCCTGGAGCAGTGAACTTTGTAGGCTCTGGGACCACAGCCATCCCATGACCCCACACTCACACAGTAGCTAAGCTTGGACTTGTCCCCTTTGGGCCCTGATTCCAAAGCCTTGCTGTGTGCTGGGCTGTGTTCCTGCCAGCAGTCCCTGCCATGGTGGGGCTGGAGGAGTGTCAGAGCACTATCATGAGAGCTGTGCAGCAAAGCTCAGGGGCCAGGTGAGTTCCTCCTTGCCTGGGGTGTGATGGGGAGCTCACAGAGGAACTGGTGAATGACAAAGTGTGTCTGAAATGTTTATGGCCATTTGTGCTGGAACACAGCCTTTGTGTTCCAGAGATCCCCTGCCAATCCCTGCCCTGTGGGTCAGAAGCCCTGTCTGAGCCCATTATGCATCTATTGTAAACTTTTCTCTGAGAGGTCTTTCTTTATGGCCGTTATGGATCAAGATTTTTTTCAGGACCTTTGCACTAGTACTGATCAGATGACAGACAACTCTAAAAATAGTGCTTCAATGCAAAGTCACCCCTGCCCACAGCACACAGCAAATAATCACAAATCAAGAATAGTAAAACTTTAGTTTCTCATTGGTGTTCTACATGTGTCCTAATAAAGTAATATATTTGATCCTTAATAAAAGTGCACTGTAATTCCCAGGAGAACATGTAGGACTAGAATAATCTGTCTAAAGATGACTTCAGGCAGAGCACAAGTTGTCTGAAATGATTAGTTTAGACTGAAAATTACAGTAAGTTGTAAGACTCTTAAAAGAAACCCCTGCAAAATAAAACATCCAGTGATACAAGTTTTAAATCCTAAGGAATATAATAATTTTCAAGTAAGGCATATAACATATTTAAGGTGTTTATAATTTATGGTAGATATTTATTAACTTTATTTTGTTCAAGATATATTGTCCAAAGCAAAGATGCTGTTTTTCTTATTCACTTAATTACCAATCCAATCCAATCCAACCCAATCCAATCCAATCCAGTGAGTTGTTTACTGCTACAGAAACATTCTAGGCCTGCATAACATCCAAACACAAATATAAAACAAACAACTCCTTTGAAATATCAGAATAACTTTTTTTTATTTTCAGTGTTAATTTGTCATGGGTTACAACCTCCACTTCCTTTTTCTTCTTAATCCAAGAGCCATAAGCCATCTTGTCTAATCTTCCCAAAAGTACTTTCTTTCTCTTCATTCAATTTCCCTCTGAAAAATCTGAGACAACTGATTCAGTTTCCCGGAGTTACTTCTAATTCTGATGCCATTTCACCCTGCCAAAGAGTCTGTATGTCCCTGTCCCAAAAGCTCTCATGACCTGCTGTGTAAGAACAATGTGGGTAATCACAGTTCAGATAGCCATGGTGGGGGCAAGAGGGCAGTTCCTCTGTCAGAAATATGGTGGTGGTTACCAAGTGTGGCACTGAATAGTCCTGCTCTAAAAGGCAACAGAAATCACAGGAAAGGGTGCTCACATATTATTTACCTGCCATTGTGTGTTTTATCCCAGAGTCTCTTGCCCCTCAAGA